GTGCTAGTGGATCGCCGGAGCTGTTAGACTACAATAAGCATGTTAATGTTAATCTAAGTGCACTGCCTTGCGGCCTGTAGCACCGTCCTTGATGGCGCATATGTGTGGGCTGGACCTGTATTTTACAGGAAAGGAGTGAGCAGAGAGTAGAGTAGTTGTCGATTCTTGTTCTGTTTTCTGTGAATATCTGCCTCACCCTCTCAGACTTTGAGTTGCGCGCGCTACTAAAGAGACGTGTTACCATGGAAACCAAACAATGCTGTAGCTGTATGAAAGTCCGAGTGGAAACAGTCGTGTGTAAATCTGATTTTGTCAGAAATCGGGAGAAATGCGGGAGAAATATGACCCTGGGAGGAAACCGGGAGAGGGCAATGAAATCGCGAGTCTCCCGCGAAAATCGGGAGGGTTGACAAGTATGGCCGTGGTGCCCTTGAGCAAGGTATCGGACATCCCCCCACTCCTATTGCTACAGCGCTGTGCATTAACTGCCCACTGCTCCTACTACATGCAGAGGCCACATTTCACTGTGTGTGCTGTGTGCTCTGCATGTGTGACCATTAAAGAGGGTTTCATCCCTCCGATTCTATCTATCTCTATACCCTTGTAATCTGGTTTATTCGATTAACAATAAAATGTTCAAGTTTAGATTGTAAACTTGCATATACTTCATTCACCATGAAATGTCTTTATACATCTTGTAGTAGGTGTCAGTCTTGTTCTTTCTTGGTGTCTTTGCCTATTTTACGGTTGCTCTCTTGTTTCTGTTTTTTCACTGATGTGTCTTATTTTCTCAATCTATTTGTCAGGTGGTTCCCTGGAGTCTATTATTGGTAGTGATGGATGTCTGTCAGAAGATGTGGTGAGGAGGTTTGGATGGGACTTGGTCAATGGACTGAAACACATCCATGAATTAGGAATCATTTACTCGAACTTGACCCCTGCTAAGGTCAGCATCTGCACTCATGTGTATGTAGGACTTACTGTAAAATACAACAGCAAATGTATGATCATTGAATAAAGTATCTCTCCTCATGTTACCCATAGATCCTGCTGGATGGTAGTGGCACTCTGAAGTTTGGTAACTTCTGTCTGTCCAAGGCAAATGGAGAAACACTTGAAGATTTCTTTACCTCAGTCTCTACATCTGAGGAGGCCGGGGAAGGAGATAGCAAGGATGTCTCTGATGACATGAGGGAAACATTACATGGTCAGATTACTTTTTGTATTTGTATTGCACATGCTAGCCAGTACAATGAGCCAAGAAGAGTGCAAATATGTACTATGTTGAATTGTAATTTGCATATGGCTAACTGACAGACAAATGAGTGGAATAATCTAAAACTAATTTTAGGTTACACCAAAAATGAGTGGGTGAATATTTAGGGCAGGAGGCAAAGAAACAAGACCAATGGGATCAAGCAGCTGTTGCTGATACATGGTTATCATATGGAAACTACAAGCTGAGAAATTACAGAGAAATGGAACCAAATGAGAGCTCAGTCTTCTAAAGAGGTCCACTTTTAAACATAGATTATTTTTTACAATTTACCATGTGATGGCAAAGAATACGAAATATCATAATCATATACTATATTTTTGCATAACATTCATTTTAAAATATCCTTTGTGCATGATAAGGCTGACAGTTTTTGCATTTCCTAATTACTGTATTTTTTTATATTTGTAGGTCTTCCAACTTACACAGCTCCAGAGGTTTTGCAGGGATCAGAAACAAATATGAGCTCTGATTTCTGGGCTCTCGGTTGTACACTCTACTACATGTATACTGGTACACACACACACACACACACACACACACACACACACACACACACACACACACACACACACACACACACACACACACACACACACACACAACTTTTGTAGACTTACTTCAGTCTGCTACTTTTCATGCATGTTTTGATTAGTGTCACATTTCTGTGTTGTAATTTTAAGCTGTGTTGTTTTTGGTTTATTAGGATGGACTGGCCAGAGTTGCTTGACCACCCTTTCTGGGCACAAGTACTAATGGAGGAAGAGGGTGGAGAGGGAGAAAAGGAAGATGAGGAGAAAGAGGTGGATCAGGAGGAAACAATTAGCTGTGAGGGGGTTGTTTCAACTAGCGTGAGGTGGGTTGATTAATATTATTTATATTTATTTTCAAGCATTCTACAGACATTTTGTCGCAACCATATTACTGCATTCAGATTTGTTTTGTCAAAGTATTTATGAACACATACGTATAGGTAGAAGTAAAAACATAATTTACACCCACTTTAGTATCTTTTTATCCTTCTTATATAATGCAAGCGAGTCAACAGCACAGCCCACAGCCTGCAGAATCAACATAACATTTAATTGAAAGTTAAATTCATAATTTTCCCTCAGCAGTTGTTAAACAGTTTTTTTCAATTCCTCCCCAGACACACAGGGATTTGTGCCCCTTTCCCTCCAGAACTTGCGGACAAGCTTCCAGACAGCCATTCTGATTCAGTCATCACCCAGCCAGCCCATAGGATCTCTAAGAAACTGAACTCTTTACAGATAACAACTGCAACAGCCTGCAGACCATCCGACAGAAGAACTGATTTCCAACAAGCTGTCAGACACACAACCTGTGGAGCCTCAAGGAACAGCAAGGGCTCGGAGAGAGGAAGAGAGGAGAAGGCAAAGGCAGACGATGACCCTGAGCTAACTGGGGCACAGCAGATGTGCCTCACACTGCAGCCTAATAAATCCTTCACACTAGGTAAGACATTCCCTGATGTCTATGTTTATGTGTTTAGATATGTGAGCTACCTGGCCACTAGGTTAGTAAGGCTTTTATTCCTGTACCAACTATATATATTTTATGTGTTTTGTTTCAATTATTGTAGTAATCTGGTTTTCTAGATAAGCCAATTTTGTTCCGTTCTATTATTTTCCCCTGAACTGCAAACATTGAAAACATTTCTGTGAGATTGGTCTGCTGTAGTTGTTGTTATGCAGATCCCCCCCTGTGTGGCCTTTACTAAGCATGATTCTCAGACATGTGTCCTCATGAATTGTTGTATCTTTTTTGCTTCCTACTCTAGATAAGGTGTCAGATCTCAAGCCAAAGAGTGGTTTGGATGTGGACCACACTGGAGCCATTTTTCTGCTCAGGTATATCATTCAGTCCATCTGCCAGGGTTTGCTTGGGTTTGCCTGGGTTGCAGGGTTCTGTCAGTCCCTACCTGTATTGTCTACCTGTTTGAACCAGTAATCTAATTAATGGCCCTCATTCATTTATTTTTCATGAAGAAAAGTGTGAAACTGAAATGTTAACAAAATCACTACAACTACTATTCAACAAGAAATAACAATGTTACTACAAGTGTAACTCTTACTGTATATCTATCCTTTGCCAAACTGTGCTTTACAAGGAATCAACTTAATGTACTTTGGTATATTGACTAGCAATAAGAAAACGGCAGTGTTCTTTTAAAATTATCTCTATGTTGTTCTTCTAGCTCCTGTGCCACCTCAAGGAGAAGCTGCAGTATCTCAGACCCTCCCAATCAGACCGCTGCACTTCAGGTTAATGCCAACACATTTTCTGATATCCGCAACATACAAACAAACAGCAGAGAGAATTGGTTCATGCTAATACTGCAACACAAGTAACTGTTAAATAGGAGAAAACACAATCACACTATTTAAATTTTTTCATTTATAAGTCTACATTTAAGGCATGTCACCCCCTGCTTCCATCTGCTGTCTGCCCTGTAAGCCCCTCACTCCGGTCCTGCTGAGGTCGACTCACTTTCCTTTTGCCTTTTCCTAGGCTAGTACTGGTACTGAGATCACATTTGGTGTGAAAGCTCTTCTTCACACTGACTCTGATCTGACTGTGACCCAACTCCTGGACAACCCCAAGGTACAAACATTCAATATTATTAGACACAGGCTATTTCAGATTTTACTTAAAATGCATCTATTTAACTTTCACTTTAAGAGTCATTGTGAGGAGCCTTTCCTTATAACCTCTTCTCACAATGTAAATGTAAAGATAAACAATATAAAAAACCTTTATGTTTATGTATGAAGTAAGGAAATACCGACTTGGTGATTGTGATTTGATGACCAGACAGTCACTGTGGTTTTATTTTGCAGATTCTTAAAAGTCCTCCTGTGCGATATGATCCCAAAAGCCTTTGTGTACCAGCATATTCAGGTACTGTATTAGATTTGGTTTTAAATCCTTATTACATTTGATTGTATCAGTGTACTATATACATTACATCGGAACTGTGGATTGTGTGTTTATTGGCCCCAATCTGTCTTGATGCTGACCTTTCCCACCCCACCTCCAGTTGAGAAGCTGCAGTCCCTGAGTGATGAAGAGTGGACTGTCCTCCTTTTACAGTTTAGTTCATCGCTGGAAGAACAGCACCCCTCCACTGCTCCATCTCCTCATTCCACAGCCACACGCTCCAGACTCAACCTGCTGTGCTACCTCTGCTGTGTCGTTGGACACAAAGCTATTGCTAACAGACTGATAAACTCAAAACTGGTAAGAAGACACATATTGACGTTGGATCCCTGTTGACATCAGCTGATGGGTTTTACAGGATCATTTTGCAGTTTTAGGGAATAATTCCTTATATCAACCTATTTGACTACTTTTAAGACAGCAGTACTGCTAAAAAAGATATGCGTGTGGTTGTGGTTCTTAACCTTGTTCGCCTTTCTTATTTTGTATCTCCTTCCTCCTACATTCAGCTTCCAGTATTGACTCACCATTTACGACAAGCTCCCAACTGGGATGTGTAAGTACATTATGTATGTTTTTCTCTCTAAACCAGAAAGCATGATGGTCACCATGCAGTAATGTTGGAGAAGTAGTTTCTTTCAATTCAAAGAAAATGCGAGAACTGAAATAACCCCATTGGTGGAGCTGAAACTCTGAAACCAAGGATTCAAGTGGACCTAACTTTGTTAGAATAGCTGCTGGCTGAAAAAGCACTGAGACGTTCAGTAGCAGAATAGTTTGTGGGCTGCACCAAAGTATCAAACATGAGGGCCAGAGAAGCATACCATTTATGATGTGTACTCACTCACTCTTCTTCTCTTGCACCCATCTTTCTTCCTCTCCCTTTCTGCAAAAGTTCTATAAGAACTTTGATTCCAAGTGACTGCTATTAATCAGCAGATAACAAATCCTATAAAAGCTATAGCAAAATGAATGGTTACGAAAGTATTGTGCCTCTTTTATGTTCGTTTGAAGTTTCCTTTTCCTTACTATGATTTTCTCCTATCAGGACCGTTTTCTATGCTAGTCCTGTGTTCATGGATTTTTTTTTACATCTTTCACAATTGTATTGTATTGTTTAACTTTAAAAATAATGTTTTCCAGACGGAGCAAAGTTCTCAGAGTGATGGGTCTACTGGCTCTGCACTGTACTGAACTAAGAGAGGACAGCCCTGTTTCTGAGGTCTGGAATGTACACACACACACACACACACACACACACACACACACACACACACACACACACACACACACACACACACACACCCCCCCCCCACAATCCTTTTAAAGAAAAGTGGTGAGAGATAATTATTATATAAATATATGAATTCCTAAATCCTGTAGTACTACATTACACCAAGAGGTGACAGTAAATACCAGCAGATGTAATGAAAATATGAATCTACTTTTATGCATAAGAACGTAAAACATACGAAAAATAGTGCAACAATGCATACAGTATGTCAATTTGTTTCTTTTAATCTATAACCTAAACGTGTAACCGAAGATGGAGGCGAAAATCTGCCCTAAAACAAGATGTGGATGTGAATACCTGTTTAGTCCTGATTTACTTTGTCAAACTAGTGTGTACCAGCAGGTGGCATCAAAAACCTACAAAACAACATGTCTTTCATTAGATTCAAAGATACTGAAAATATCAGTCACAAACTCACTCACTTTATGGCTTTTGCTTTTAGATTTCAATTTTGTGTTTAATTTATAATTTAAATATTCAACTGTTATACTGTTAACTATATAATTTTTTACAATATCCCCCCAATTGACTTTCTTTGTCCAAGTTATAATAATGATGCAGGTGAAACTGTACATTTGTTTTGGTTACACCTACATAAATCGTATTCAATTACAGTCAAACTAAATTAACTTTAGGGGCACATAGGTGATTTGCTATGTTGTGTTGTATAAATAAATTTACTTGACTTGATTTAATTATTTTGATGTATATGAACTTAATATACCTGCAACTTAGTGTGTGTGTTGCTATTACACATAATAACAATCAACAAAAGTACCGTTAGGTAATAGGATACACTTGTCTGAACACACATTTCCCTAGACATTTCCCTAACCCTAATTCCCCAATGGATCATATACTTTTCTGAGCCCTCCCTAAAACACACACACACACACACACACACACACACACACACACACACACACACATTAAAAACACCTGTTTGTCTCTATTTCTGTCTCACTATCTACTGTCTGTCTCCCTCCTCCCTCTCTCTTTAATCTGTCTGTCTTCTTACTCTCTTCAAAATAATGAAATGAGATAAAAAAAATCTTGGATAATGTCACTAACGAAAGCTTGCTACGTTCTGTATGCCATGGAGAAGCTGTCCTTTTAAAACCAAATATATTATCATATTCCCCTTCACTTATCATCCCGAAAAGTTTAGCCGATGAAGCTTCCACTGTGCGGGGTGTTTCTTGGGGATATAGAGTCTTAATGCATTCTAAAGCTCTCTGCAATCTCTAGGAAAACACATTCACAGGCCATTGGATCCAGGAAGACGCCACTTTATTCTGTATGTCAATATTGAATATACAGTAAAGGTTGGGTTCAAACCACTTGTTTTGACAACTAATGAATGAAGGTAATGTAAATCCATTCAAAACCAACAATACATAATAGATTGATAGGTTTATTGTCAAACAGAAATGATGCAATATTGTTTCCTGGAGCTAATTGGTGTGGCGTTTCCCTTTACTCATCTATGCTAAACATCTACTCAATTAAGCGGTTCGTCCTTAGCAAAAGTGTTTAACATGATAACTTTATTTACTATTTATATTTGAGCCAAGCATTGGTTGTCTTGTTTTAAAATATGACACACCATTTGTCATAGCTGCCATGGGAAACATCGGACAGCACATTTATACATTTTGCAAATATACGTATATATTAGGAGATCTCTGTAAAAATCTAGTATGTACATTTAGAATGTTAAGAAAATTAAAGTGGAACACCCGGTACTTATGCATCTTAATGTAATACTGCAACCTAGCTTTATCATACTTTTAGCCTCTGTATTTCTGTCTGTGTGTGTGTGTGTGTGTGTGTGTGTGTGTGTGTGTGTGTGTGTGTGTGTGTGTGTGTGTGTGTG